GCCAATCACTTTCACTTTCCTACTTTCAAAACTTAAAGAAATAGTTTTGAAAATGTCTGAAATGCTTTTATTTGCTTTGTTTCTGAGAAAAGAAATCAATATTTCAAGGCATAAAGAAGGGCTCTGAAAGTGGTTAGCCTAGCTTAGCATAAAGGCTGTAGGTAGGGGGAATAAGCTAACCTCTGCAAAGTTCAAATTTACACATATTAACACCGCTAAAGCTCACTAATGGACACATTGTAGCTTGTTTCTTTAATATGGATAAAAAGAAAAGGGTAAAAGAAGTCAACTAGTATTTTTAGGGGGAGCCAAGCTAGCTCTGTCACACTGCTTCCAGTCTTTATGCTAAGCTAGGTATATTTCCCAAAGTGTTGGAATATTCTTATATAGGATCATTCATATTTATTACAATTTGGGTTTTATTTTGGTAGTTTATCTGTATTAATAAGCTTTAAAGTTAAAAGCTGAGATGTGGGAACGTAGAGACATCACTAAAAAAGTAGTTCAATGGGATAAAATGAGCTCCCAGGTTAGCCAAACTCGAGGGACTGCTACCAACATTTTGGGTGCAGGTAAGATTGTTTACAGCTTGTTTACAACCTGTCTGACAGTCTGACTGCTTGTCTCTGACTTAGTCTGACTATATTATAGCAATGTTGCGGGGTTCCCAGATCTACAATGTTATCATAACTGATGAAATTATGTTCACAACTACAGAAAGACCCAGGTTGTCATAAATTGGAAATGTCCTGTAAATGAGACTGTAACTTTTTTTAGACAATTAATATTGGATAATGGTGAACACAAACATAAATATAAATATAAATATAAGCAAAACAGAGTTGTGAAATTACAGAACTGACTGACAGTTACAGCAATATCTACCTAAAGTCTTGCTAGCATTAGCTAACATTAGCTCGGTCATACCAGGTAAAGTAAGACCGTTGAGTCTGTTGAACTACTCAGCGGTACATTTTACCGATATGAGAGACACCTTCAGGATTAACAAAGAAGAATGAACTGTTTCTTCATTATATAGTCAGCTTTAAAGTAGCAGCAAGTGTTGGTCTCTCTGTGTGATGCACCAGGCGGCAACAGGTTCTGAATCATTCATTATGTTTGGAAGAATAGAGCTGTTTGTAGACCACAAGATGACAACACAGCCAAATCAGAGCAGCATTGTGCACTGTGCCAGCTGTAGAAGTCCCAGTCTAGGTAATTAGATTAGAGATGATTAATGCACATCAGCCTGAATTTATAATCATTTACAATTATGAGTGAGTTACTGCGCAACGGCCTGAAGAAGTGACGGTGATTTCCTCACAGAGCCCCTCAGTTTGAATAAATTCCCAGAATGAGGAAACTGTGTGTCTTTTGTCTCATGATCAGTCATTTCAACGTACCATCCTACACGTCTGATCAACCTACAACTGACATATTCAAGGAGAACCGGGTGGAAACCTACAGTTTCACTTTGTGTAATTTGTGGTAAATCTCTTCCTTCCAGATTCACTACTGTAAGAGCGATACTGAAACTGAAGCCCCACGAGCAAATATTATCAACCCATAATCGCATATCAAAGTTATGTATGTTGACAGATAGGCAAAAAGAAATTGCACCGCATTACTGGCAGTATTTTTCTGTATATTTAATTCAAATTTAAGCAGTGTAACAAAAATATCTGAACTTAAGGACCTCTTACTGACTCTTTCCAGAGCTTTCACTTGGTAATTAAGACTGTGAGATAATAGTAATTATAAAAATAGTAATTATTTACAACCATTTACATTTCAGTGCCATTTACTGCATGAACTGTTGTCTCTATTGTTACTGGCAGGCATCTTTGATCATAAGGTTTACTGTTCAACTGTAAAACTTCTTCACTCCCACACATCTTCATCACAAAATGTTCCTTTATGTTAATTTTTATGTTAAAAATAAATGTGTTGATTGTTATTACATTTATCTCTCGAATCAATGTCAGTATCTGCCTGAAAAATCAAGTTTCTATGGAGTTCTCAGTCATACTGAAGAACTAACCTGAAAATGTGGGAGATATTTGCTTTCTGGCAGTGAGTTAGATTAAAGTTTGATGCTGCTTGTCTGTTAAATATAAGGCTACAGGCAGCAGACAATTAGCATAGCACAAAGACTGGAAATTAGGGTGGAAACAGCTAGCCTACAGGACAGTCAGTCCAGGACTAAAATCAAAAGTGTTCTTCCCCACAGCAGCTGAGATGCATATGAGTTGAAACCTGCGTCATTAGACATGCAGCTGCCACTGCCTGGTAGAACAGGTAAAGCCAGCGTGATGGTACAACTAATGCAACAAACAAATACAACCACAGGGTCCTTTCCCACACCACTGCGTCACTCATCTTCACTGGGCATTTTTAGGCAGTTCCACTCGAGTGCAGAGAACAACGAGAGGTGGGTTAGCAGTGAGACTGTAGATCTGAACCCACAACACCGCAAGCATCCGACACGATCTGCAGATCTGCAGACCGCAGAGCCATGGTTCCCCCCCCGGGTGTGGGTTCATGTGAAACTGAAGAGAATCTGTTTGCGATAAGTCAGACCCAACATCAGATAAGCATGTTGCTGGTGCTTAATTTAGCCTACCTTAAGGGCAGAGTCCTTATCTAGCTCTGCATCAGTGTTTGATAAAAAGTGTCCATGATGCACCCTGCTGAGGGACATCCTGTAGAAACCACATAACGCTTTCTCCCTCATGTCATCTCCTGTGTATCCTGTCCATTAGGGCTGCAACTAACAACTGTTATTATTAGCGATTCATCCGATTATCGACGACAGTTTGACCAAAATATTTACCTCCATGTCCACTTAAAAGTTTTTTCTGGAGCTTCCCGCCTCTTGTAGATAGAATGCAGAAATGTCATGGGGAGCCATCCACTGAGGAAGACCATGAAATATGGCTGAAAACCCTTCTAGGAAAAGCTTGTCAGTGGACCTTGAGTTACATTTTTCCATCAAGGTTGGTTTTATACAGGCACGTCACGCATGTCCGTAATAACAAGTAATAGAAGAAGTAGCGGTCACGAGCCGGAAACAAAACTAGTTGTCTGTTAACAGCCAATAAACCTCAAACAGAGGAAACAAAAGCAGTCACCCTGGCAGTTCTACAAGCGGAAAATGGAAACAGGTATTCAGGATTGGTTTTCAAAAAGGCAAGTTGTGATTTTACAATGTCAGCTTGCGTTGGCCGCGTTTCATGCTGTCTGGAGATGAAGAAGGAGCAAAAACAGCTGATCAGTCATGTGAGTTAAATGTTTGTTTGTCTCCATTAAAGCTGCAGTAGGTAACTTATTACTATATTTACTGAAACTTTCACTCTATCCTGACAGTAGAACATGAGACAGATAATCTGTGAAGAAATCAGGTTCCTCTGGCTCCTCCTAGTGCTTCTAATGGCATTTGTAAGAATCCACCAGGCCTGAATGAAAACAACCAATCAGAGCAGAGAAAGATAGAAAGACGAGTTGTGCTGGTGGCTTGAATGCAGTTGAGCATCAATATTTGACGACCTGGGAATAAGACTCAACAATCATCTATCCATTTTCAATTGGGCTCTAATCTGAATGTCACATCACTCACTGACCAACAGAAACGCTGGTTGCAGTATATCTGTGGGGAGTTCATGGACCACGGAACGGATTTCAAATTGGTCGGGGCCCATCAGCACTGCAATATCACAGAGGGGCAGCGCCAAGGCCCTGATTTTGAATGGGAAAAGGTTTATCACATGACACAATTAGCCAATACATTTTTAGGTAGCAGAATGTATTGCTTTCTCACAGGCTGTGGTCACATAGTGTACCATAAGCTGTATGATTACAATAGCAGCTACCCAAGAATCTTTGGAATTGAACACATTTTCAATGTTTAAAAGTAGCCCTACTGGTTCCGCGGTCCCTAGGTTAATATCAGTCAATACATCAACCCGGCTGATTTACTGGTGCAGCTTTAATGGAGATAAACTGGAACCAGTGAATGTCTGGAATCTGATGATGGAAATGGTTGTGGATTAATCAAGAACCATTGTTTCATCTCTATTTTCCATTAGTCGTAGCTAATCATGGCCTGATAATCAGACTGAATTGCTATTGTTATACTTCAGCGGTCTATGTGATCCTGCAGTATCTAAACCAGCAGGAGCCCAGAGTCAGGAGGGACGGCGTCAGGAGGGAGGGAGGGAGGGAGGGAGGAGGCATTGCTCTGGTGCCACTGGGTCACAAATCATGTTACCCTTTAAATCTTCTCGCATTCAGAGCGAAGACGATGTGACAAAAAAGGCAGCACTGGTGCCATGTCGCTGAGAATGCTGGCGAGCCTCTCCCTGTTGGATACAAGCTGATTACAACAAACTGTCAGAATACAGGGCGGCGGCGCTGACTCTACCACAAACAGCCAATTCCATCACACGGCCACAATTCACAAGAAACAAACTCAACGAAAAACGTGAGATCTGTTTCTAAGTTGCAGAAGAGTGTGTGAACTCTGTGGAGGAGCCAGAGAGGGGGGCTGGGTGGGGAAGGGAGGGGCTGACCATGAAGGGGGAGAGAGCAGCATGTCCTGCGCATTCAGGCGCACAGAGAGGAGACCTGAGTATTTGACTGGAATGTGTGTGGAATGAGGAAGTGTGCAGGCAGGCGGAGAGCTGCTGACTGCTGGGAAGGTTAGAGTTAATCTGATAAGCACAGCACGGGAAAATGATTCATTAGTGCATCTGTCAATGCTGCCTTTATCCTCAAGTGTGTGAGTGTGTGTGTGTGTGTGTGTGTGTGTGTGTGTGTGTGTGAGAGAGAGGGAGAGAGAGAGAGAGAGAGAGAGAGAGAGAGAGAGAGAGAGAAATGACCCCAAAATGTCCCCAAAAAGAGAACAAAATTATAAAAGAGTAAAAGTCAATTAAGCCATTTTACATCCAATTAAGATTTGTAATGAGTCCAAATACCTAATGAGAGTGAGTGTAGACCCTTACCTCCAGGACCTGGACATAACTTGAGGGGAACCATCCTCTGGCTCCATCCCTCTCTCCCTCCCACCAGCCTCCGGGCAGAGCCTGGACCACTTTAATAATGTCCCCGGTCTCGAAGCTCAGTCCCTGCTGGTGCTGCTCCCCGCTGAACGGGTACAAACTTTTGCAGTACGATCCAGACATCGCAACTTCTTCCCGCTCAGATGCCGATGGTTTGTCCCCCCCCCTCCTCGCTCCTCCAGACAACAATCGAACTTTTTCAATCAAGTTTGTGTCCGAGTTTGGAGCCGGTGTCGCTCACGGGTCGCAGAGGACAGGAGCGGAGCCAAACTGGTGTGAAGTCAGTGAACAGGTTCTCCTCCTCCTCCTGCTGCTGTCAGGACGCCCCTCGCCGCTCTGCCGCTCCTCCAGCCTGCTGCCAGCCTGTAGCGCCGTCTGAGGCGAGCGGACCAGCGGCAAGCTGCACGGAGCGAGGCGGACACCGGAAGCTATAGATGTCTGAATTCAAAGTAAAAGCACAAAACGCTACAAAGTGAGTAAACGCGAGACAAGCTATCTCACAACCGAGCACGCTCCCTCTGTTGAGGAAGAACGTGTGCTCGGAAAGTTGAAAGTTGAAAATAGTAAGTGGCCCTTTAGCCAGGTGGTTTCTCCAGAAGTTCTCCAATGTCAACTTTTACACTCAACATTAAAACTTCCAGCAGACTACAACTATTATACTGCTGATAGGACTGTTGTGGTTTGGGAGTGTTACGGGCTAAGGTTGAAATGACCCTTAATATTACCTCATGGCTAACCACAGTAGACTAGCTCTTCTTCAGGAGATACCATTTCTTCTTTTCTCTCGTTTTCTTCTTCTTCAGTCCAACCACAAGTACTAGCCAACTGCTGCTACTACCTAACGTTACTATTTGGTTTGTTTGTCTATTTCTGTGGAAGTTAAACGTTTTTAAGTGTGTAATTTATGCTAGGATACTTTTATAAATATATATATAATCATAATTATCATGAAGAAGAATGACTGCTAATGACTGATTTGAAAGTAGTTACATCTTTATATTTGCCTGGCATTTGTTTTTATGCAACGTTCCGTTTTAAGTTTTAGTTTGAAAGGTTGTACCGGAAGTTCCGTCTCTTATTGTGGCAGACTTGACTTACTAATGATAAACCGTGCAACTCCCCTCCAGCTTCTTCTTTACTTTTTCATAGGCACATTTTAAATGATGATGATGATTTATTATTATCATTTATTTATGATGTACAAACATTTATCCATTTTATGATTCGCTTTCATGGCCTCATTTCACTGCTTATATTGTTTCTTATGTTGTTTATCTATGTAGTTTAGTTCTCTTTTTTTTTTTACAAACTCTTTTATGAGCTTCTCTGTTACCACGGTGATGATTATGATGATGATTATGATGATAATTATAATGATGATGGTTAAGATTAGGCTACTGTTAGAAGTGTTTGTAGTAAAATAAAGCTCTGAATATAGTTTAGTTAAAACACAACTACAATGAAACGATCACAGAGTAAAGTATTTAACAACCAAAGACTTTCTGATGATCTGATTATTTAACTTTCAGCCTCTCATTTCAACTCAAGCAGCTGTTGTTCAGAGCCAGCACTGACTAACACCAAGTTTGCCCAAAACACACAAAAACTTGACAGTTCCTCATTTGCACAGTGCATGGTGTTATGACACATCAGTTTATTTTTGGCCAATAGATATCACATTGACCAACTCAAGTCACAGTGAGACACCAGGAAAGGCCGATTGATGTGGCTGTAATGAGGCTTCCTGTGTTCTATTTCCTTTCGGACTCAGTAAAACCAGCAGACGCCAGGTGTTGGTGTTGTACATCACACCTCGAATAGCACACACTGGAGCTCTCAGCTCTCAGCAGGTCTAAAATTGCGTTCTTGTGCGAGAAACAATTTCGATACGGAAATTGTCTGTTCACAAGTAGCCAAACAGAAAATGAATGCACTTAATAATGCATGCTGGGTAGGAACAGAAGTAAAATGCATAAAGCATGATTAGCATGAATAAGTCAACAATATAGGGAGGGATCGATGGCCAAAAATCCTAATTAAAGGACTATAAAGTACCTCCTTTGTTTGACCCCCGATGCCATGAAGAGTAAACTGATATCAGTGTGTAAAATCAAAAGTAATATGCACACAATCTGACTGAAAAGCAAAACTAATAACTAATCATGTCTAATGTCACATTAAAAATCAGCCTTAAATAAAATGCCCTGAGTGGCTAATCAGGAGAAACAGGAAGTTCCCCAGTGGGCCGGGCTGGTTGCTGCAGTGACAGTGTCGTAAACACAATCATTTGATACACAGATCATGTAGGTTACACTCAGAAGCTCAGGAGGTTACGATAGGTCACCTGATCGATGACTTAATTACATTTGACCTTTGACCTTTGACCTCCGACCACTGAGCACCGGCACTTGGTAGAAGATGTGAGTACATTAAAAAGAAGAAAATATGGAGAACAGAAGGAGAAAAGGGGGAGCTGAAAAAGGCCAGAATATAAAAAGAAAAGCTTCACCAGCTGATGAAGACGAAAAGTCTTTTGCAAAAATATAATTTAGAATTTCTATTTGAGTGAAAACAATGGAATTGTGTTTAGAGATAAACAGTCTGGAGTCTTGTTGTTGATATGTGAGCTTCAGGTTTTCATGGAAGAGGAACATAAACCCAATGATTCCTATATTCAGGTGATTATACACTAATGAAAACATACCTATGAGTATTATGTTCCATTTCTGACAATAGATTATCCTGAATGTGACTCACTGGACAGACATTTAAATAAAACTGTGGGTGAGATATTGCTACTTTAAAAGACAAAAATAGCCAGGAAATGCAAGAGGAGTAATTATTATTATTTTGTTTTGAGTCCCATGGTAACGTTTTGTTGACAAGAAGCATCAGAATGATGCAGATGATGTCAACTGTATATTCCACATACAGACACAGACACAGACATACACACACACACACACATACACACACACACACACACACACAAACATACACACCGCCAGCCTGAGGGGACCCGTTCAGATTCTCCATCCTTGTTGTCTGAACAAGCTTTTAAACCATCTGAAAGCACTTCCTCCTCCACTCAGACTGTGGCAACTCTCTCTTTGTACCAGGTAAAGTTTCCCTAATGATTCTTTCATATGAACTTTTCTTCATCAGGAAAGACAACCTGTAGCTAGTTCCTTAAAGTGGGGTTATTGTAATGACAAACTGGCACTCTGGTGATGTATTTGGTTGAGTGCTCCACTAATATCTAATAATAAAGGCTGTTTATACCATTATTCAAAAGGATTGGGTAATATTGTCGTCCCTGCCTGCACTGAGGGGCAGTTCAGAATGCTTTATTCAAATGATGCAAAATCATCACATAATCTCTAACAGCAACACCCACCCCAAGTCCTGTTCTCCACAACCCCCTCTTTAAAACAGCAACATAGTCAATTCAAATGTGTGTCATACCACTGTGTTATGGTACACACTTGAATTTCCAACTGAATTCTACTAAATGAGTGTTTCCTGTTACCCCCAAGGAGTTTGACCACTGTTCAACATGGACACTGACTCCATTCTGAAGCAAGCTGCACACATGAGACCGTCCTCTTTCTCAGTGACAGAGAAACAGCGCTACAGAGCTGAGGTCAGTGTTACCGCTGTAAACGTAAAGATGCGTTCACACTGGAGTCCAGCAGCACACTAAGGCATCTCTGAGTCAGCTGATTCACTGTACACTGAATCTATCTTTCAGAAGATGCTCATGAGGCAGTTTGTGATCATGAAGCTGCAGTATCAAGTTCCCATTTATTTATCTGATAAAGACATGAAGAGCTGGCTGCTGGCTGGAAGAAGCTTCCTGGAAGAGTGAGTCCACAGTGACATGTTAGATTAAAGCTTGCTGCAAAGGAAAAATTACAACATGGATAACTAAATCTTTCTTATTCTGAAAGGTTCCAGGAAATAACTAAAGTGGCAGAGACAAGGAAGCTCCTTGTGGCTGAATTGGTAAATATAACATACTGACTGAGTGATACAGCATATAAGTACATTTAAAGCTAGTTTATGTAACTTTTCTGAGCGGTGTGACAATTAACCCCTCCTAAGTCCCGCCCCTTTACGCTCTGTGCTCCAATAAGAGTTGAGTAAGCGTCAGTCAGAACCTCAGTCAACTTTCTGCTTCCTGTATTGACATATATAATGTCAGTCCCTTCAGGATTTCGCTGGCTGTTTACGGGAATTGTTGAGGCCTAAAATGTTATGCATGTTGATGCATCTTACAATGTTTGAAGCATTTTTTTTTTCAATGAAATGAGAGAAAGTGAAAATTGCAAAAAATATATATTTTTAGTATAATTCATAAAAAATGTAATGCAGCTTGTTCCAGTGAGAATAAAGTAGTTACACTAGCAGTTATGAGTGCAGCTATGATTGGAGAAACAACAGTGACGGGTTACGGTCCCAGAGAATTCCCAGGGATTGGTTGAATTTGTGTTAACTGCTGCGATCGTAACATCGCAGCTTCCTGGAGGGACTGCTACGTGCTAGGCTCACCGATGTTGACAAGAGTTTTGAAGATGGGTAAAAAATAAGAACGATATATGTAGTCGCCTTTTTATTTTTGCTATTTGCTAGATAGATAGCTAGGGTTAGAGAAGTATAGATAGTTAAAATACTTTAAATACTGCATTATTTACATTTTTAAAATAATAAATAAATACATTTATATAAATAAATTAGAAACATCTATTATATACAAACGAAGCGTAAATAAATCAATAAAAAGTATACAGACAAAAGTAGTCCTAAGTAAACTAACTTAAAAAACCCTTTTAAAGATGACTTATATGAAAGCTGTAGTAAATTACAGACCTGTAACATAAAGCCTGAACTATTCCAGCTGAGACTAACTAATGAGAGATGTGTTCAGGCCTGGACCTCAGCAAGGCGCGTCTGTGTGGACCAGATGGAGAAAGAGGTCTGGGAAGAACTTGAAGAAGAGAACCGCCTTTCGAGGCAGCTCAGAAGAAAGGTAAAGTTAAAAGAAATCCTCGTGAGTCACTCCTTTACCACCGCGCGCTCTCTCACTCCTCTCCTGGCTTTATCTTTCCACCATATGAAGGTCACATTGGAGGGTCTTCGAATGTTTCTCTCAGTCATCCGCCCGAAAGCAGAGCAGCATGTACAAACCTTCCTCCGCCACCTGTCCAACAAGCTGCTCGACTCCTTCGTTGGCTCTCACACCAGCAAGCGTTCCAAACTGGCTCTGCTCGCCAAGCTCCAGCAGACCACTGAGCCTTTAGCACCGCAGGTGGTGGACACAGCTCTGGAGTTCCTCCTGGATGAACCAGAGCCACTTGCTGAGGTCAGGACCTCCCAGACTCAGAGTGCGAGCTGGGACTCCAGTCTGGCCTCTGCTCTGAGGACCAGGGCTGAGGCTGCCAGCGCTCACACTGGCCAACAGCTGGCTGAGGCAGTGGCTACTTGCTTCTGTCTCAATACATTTTTCACTAAAGCTCGTCTCCTGTGCATCTGCACGTCAGCGGCCCGGGACATGGTCAAAGCCGTTTATAAAAGATTTGTTGACCGCTCCAAAACCTTCAACCTCATGGACTTTGATGAAAGCTCCATCAGTGCTAGAGAGAGCGTTGTGTGTGCTGTCCAGGACATAGAAGACAGAGTGCAGAGTGCTGCATACAGCTGGGCTCTCCATCAGCTGGAGAGGAAACCCATGGTAACAAAAAGTTGCTAATACTGTAAAACCTACCTGTGCTACTACATATCTGTGCTCAGGAGACCTTTACTGACTATTTGCTAAAGCAATGATAAGCTTTATAATTTAAGATTCATGACTGTTTCTCAGGCTCCAGAGTTGTGCAGTGCTGCTGCAGAAATGCGTGGTGAGTTGGCTTTCCAAATCATTATTTAATTTAGGACATATGTTATACTTCTGCTAATACTTTGGTATTTTGCTCCTTCTAGATGAAAAGGACAAAGAGGAGAAGAAAGGAGTGCGTCTCTTCTTCAGACGAATGTGGAAAAAGATGATGAGCCCGCTGTCCCCTGAGGAGTGAATCACACCAGCTGCTCTGTCTACAGTATATTCTCAGTAACATAAATCACACTTATTCAATAAATGTTAATAGGTAGAAAGAAAATGTATATGTATATTTTTGTATTCTTTACATTTTGGATGTTACTTATAGAAATGATATAATTCAACAGATCAAATGACAATGTGTAATGTTAAAGGTGTTAATGAGCCCATTGAGACTAAGTTCCCCTCAGCTCTTGTTCTTGTCTGTTTTGGTTCATTCCCACCGCTCTCAACAACCAGCAGGCCAACCCAGTATCACGCCAAAGTGGTCCAATGTGGCAGTGTCATGTTTCCTACAATTCTCAAGAATAAGAATCTAACATCCGGCTACACTTTCAAATTAAAGCCTGCTGAGGTCGCGGTTGGGTAGGTTTCAGCAACAAAACTACTTCTTTAGGAAAAGACTGGAAGTTACATTAAGTATCAGATTTAAGTTAAGTTCATTGCCTAAGTTCATTTACCTACCTGGCCCAACTTCAAATGAGTTTGCAGTGACTTCTGGCTACAGGGCAGCAGTCTGCTGTCTTTGTACATACATCCTCTCGCCTACACAGACAGTCACTCTTCATACTGCGCCTTCATACTGACACAAAAACAGTCAAAACTGACACTGACACGGTATCCTCTAGTTGATAGACGGGTCTATTACACACTTTGGTGTGAGACTGGGCTGTAGCAGGCAAACAAGTTCTGTTTAACCCACTGCACTCTACCTGCTCAGCAGCAAACAGCACACAGACACACTTAGCAGTTAGCTGGGGAAAATGGAGCATTTAGCAGTTAAATCTGCCCTCATCTCAAACTGCTCCTTTAATGTCTGGTTGTTACCAGTGCAAGTGAGGAGTTAAAATAGTTTGATGCAAGTAGTCACACCTTTTCTCTGTTTTCTTAGTGTTATGATGCATCCATGCATTGCAGAGTAGAGATGGATGAAATGCAGATATAACAGTACATGTATTAACACTGCATGTTAAAGACAGACAGCTTTCTGTATGTGTATAGGAATATTGTTGTATGTCTCTCACTCTGTGTCTATTTTCCGGCTTTAAGTGATTCATTTTCAGAAGCACAGACTATGACACATCCAACTCATTTGTATCTTTATGTCTTTATTAGATAACAGAACAGAAATTATTAATTACCTTGTGACAGATGATACCAGAAGTTTTTTTTTCCAGGTGTGTAATGGAATTCTTTTAACAATTTGAATCCTCTTTTGAGTCTCTCTCCCTCCGTGCTTCTTCTCTTGTTAAAGGGAGCCCTCTAGCTGCTGTTACTGTAGTAGTACATGATACCAGAGTACTTGGTTGGAATAAAGTACACTGAGGAAATATATAGGGATATGAGAATTGATTTGACACTTTCAAAGTCTCAGTAGTAAGACACCTGATTAACATTTTCTTTAATAAAGGGCTTTTGCATGAGCCTTACAGCCCAAAGTGGATATTAAATTCACACCGGTGTCAATAAATCAACCAGATCATTGGTTGGACATTCACACTGGGTGGGGTCAGCTGGGGTAGGTGAGACATAGATCATCCATGCGGTATGATGAGCCTGGCCTTCACAGCTGTGTCCTCACTCCTGTCCAACTATAGAGCTGTCATAGCACACACTGTTATCCTTCTGTGTCGGTGGTGAAGAGGGAGATCACAGATATTCAAGATACGGGTTACTTCTGTGGGTCACAAGAACTTTAATCATCATCAGGTGTCACCAGCAGCAGTTCAGTGTCTATTTGGCTCACAGTGGTTTTAACTGAGACTGATCTCTTCGCTTTAATCTCTGATTACTGCACACAATTTTGGAATCAGGGCCAGAACCAGGATTTACAAAGGAGTCCAAATGTGTCTTCTTGCCAGAAACACTAATTTAAAAATACTGTGTGAAGAATCAGACTCAAGTTCCTAGAAACAGTAAGGACATGTCCAGTGTCCTGTGAGATACCTTCAGATCAAATGGTTCAGTTAGCTTAAGTCCTTGTTTTAAAGTTTCAACGAAACTAGTTTTCTATACTTGTGATTTTTGCAACTGAAAAGTTTAAAACTGAGAATGTATTTCTGTGTCTGGAGAGTTTTCCTTTGGCTACTTGTACAGTAAGTATGAAAAGCTTGTAGGTGCTGACTTCTGTTTTACTTTTAATCTGGATCTCAGACAAAATAAATTCCTGTACTGATGAGGGCACTGACAGACAATGCCTCTGGTCTGGCGTGCAGGTTCAAGGATGGAGTGACACAGCTGAACACATGCTTCACCTTAAATCAGTCCTCTGCAGCCTCTCTGATTGGTCCATGTGCTCCTTTGATTATATTGCTCTAATGGTGCTTAATCCACTGCTCTCATGCTAGCATTAGGTATTGTATGGAGATGAGTGACAGTGAAGAGGACGGCTATTTTAACTCAGGATGTAAATGTCAGCAGGCATTCTGCTGGATCTGCTCTGATCTCTGCAAACAGATGCTCAACTTAGACGCAAACTGAGGGAGACTTACATAATCGCAATCTATTCCTCTGCCTGGCTAATTAGCACGACACCAACTAATACACCAACAACTATGATAAACACTCAGTTTCCATTCCTTTGTGTTGGTATTCAGAAACATTGTTATGTTTGGCTGTACAGTAAATCTGATGAAAGGCAGTAATGGCATTAGATGGAGGAAAAACAGACAAAGCTAATGCTTCACACTGCTTTATTCTGCTACAGTCTCACAGCAAAACTATACGCTTGGTTCATTCTGGTGAGTTTCTACTTGTACTGAGAACTTGCAAAGATGATGTCTTCTGTGTCCTCGCTGCAAGGTCTACTCAGATTCAGCAGCCTGACAGGACAGGACAAGACAGGAGAGGAGAGGACAGGACAGGAGAGGTGGGTAAGGAAAGAAAAGGAAAGGAGAGGAGAGAAGAGGAAAGGAAATATTTAAGTTTTTTATATTAAAAATCTATGGGGGATAAGAAAATAAATTTGCCCTAGGAAGCCAATAAGAAACCAATTAAACCAAACTCAACTATAGTCTTACCTTTCCAAACTCTCTGCTCTTGGTTCTCATCTTGTTGACCTGGGACTCAGCGATGTCTGCCCGCTCCTGTGCCTCCTCCAGCTCATGCTGCACCTTCCGTAGCTTACCAAGATGAGCACTGGCCTGCTCCTCCTGTAGCAAAAAAAACCCACAAACACACTAAGCTAGAATCATTATTTAAAAAAATAGAACATTCTTGTTTTTCATGAAGTCAAAAAAGATCTTACAGCTTCTTCATTCTGCCGTTTGTATGCTTTGACTTTGAGCTGCAGCTTGTCCACCAGGTCCTGCAGTCTCAGAACAGTCTTCTTGTCCTCTTCGGTCTGGTAAGTGAGCTCCTTCACTCTCCTCTCGTATTTACGGATTCCCTTGATGGCGTCAGCAGCTCTTTTCTGCTCACTCTCCACTTCACCCTCCAGTTCACGCACCTATAAGGGAAAAGTCCAAACCCCACACACCCAAGCTCAGATTTCATCTATGTTCTTAGTAATGCTGCATTAATCTCATATGGGCCAGTGTGATACCCGAGCTTCCAGTTTCTGGAGATGTTTCTTGCCCCCCTTCAAAGCCAGGTTCTCTGCCTCGTCCAGACGGTGCTGCAGATCCTTCACAGACACCTCCAGGTTCTTTTTCATCCTCTCCAGGTGGCTGCTGGTGTCCTGCTCTTTCTTCAGCTCCTCTGCCATCATGGCTGCCTATGAGAACACAGTCTGAATGATTATTTTCCATTACAAATACCAAATCAATGCTCATAATTGAGGTGGACCTCACAGCAGTATGCATACAGGCAACCAGGCTGCATAATAATCACACTATATAAACCAGTGCTGGACATAATTAAAGGTGCATAATACTTACATCAGTGATTGCTTTCTTGGCCTTTTCCTCGGCATTGCGAGCCTCTTGGATTGCATCCTCCACCTCGCCCTGCAGCTGGCTGACATCTGCATCCAGCTTCTTCTTGGAGTTAAGGAGACTTGTGTTCTGTAGCCAAAGCACAGTTAACAAACTGCAACACCAGCATTCGTCACTCAACCAGCTCCAGTGAAAAATATCTCTTTAGGTGCTAAACACTCTACTCCAGAGACACCATTACAGACTAGCTGTTGAACATAGCTAGTCTGTAATGGTGTCTGTCAGCTGTTTGGTGCTGGGCAGTGTGTGTACAGTGGGTTCTTTAGAGACACATGTGAGTTGGGATGGTGCCTGGTCTGTTTTTAAGCAGGAAACAACCGGCAGCCTGCTCATAAACCTTCTAAAATTTCAGCTAAACAGTACACTAAAATGTGTTCCTGAACACATCTGAGATGGGAAATATCGGGTAGCCCTGACTGATACACTGTGATACTGCTGCTCACCTGGGAGTTCAGTAGCCCTACTCTCTCACAGGCATCAGCCAGTTCCTGTTCAGCCAGTTTGCGGCTTCTTTCCGACTGCTCCAGAGCGGCCCTGAGCTCCTCTACCTCCGCCTGCATCAAGCAGCACCTGCGCTCCACCATGGCCACCTGCTCCTTCAGGTCCTCCTGGCTCCGCAGTGCCTCATCCATGTGAAGGTTTTGTTCCTGTAGAGAGGCAGGACGGTAAAAGTTGTATGATTTACCCAAATTTGTTTTTAAAGTTAATATTCTTGTGCTGAAGCTGCCAGGGAACAGTATTTCACTTTGAGGTGGGCTTGTATGTTCCTCAGCTGTTTATGGGCTTCAGCTGCCTGCCGATTGGCGTGGCCCAGCTGGATCTCCATCTCATTGAGGTCTGTTTCCATCTTCTTTCTGATTCTCAGGGCATCGTTCTTGTTACGCGTCTCAGCATCTAAGGCGGACTGCATTGTTTCCACGATGCGCTGGTTGTTGCGCTTCATCAGCTCGAGCTCCTCTTCCTTCTCAGCCAACCTGCGATCAACCTCTCCTTTGACTTGAGCCAGCTCCAGCTGGACACGCAGAATTTTAGATTCCTCATG